AGCACCAAGTTTTTAGTTTTTGAAAAAAAAGCCAGCCACAAATCATTACAAACAACCGGGACGCGGCGGCTCCACCCGGCCCCGGCAGACCGGCGACCTGGGCACAGCGATGGCCTGTCCCGGGCACTTCGGCGTTGCACAGGGTTGTGTCCTCAGCTGACCCGTGCCGCTGAAATCAAAAGGCTTCAAAATAACAGCGAAAGGGCTCACGGTGGAAGTTTGCACCCCTGGGTCAGAAATACCCCAAAGGAGCTCAAAGCCTTACAGACAAAGGCTTCAAGGCAGCATCCGAAGATGAGTGAACGCAAAAGCCGGGGCACTGACCATTCAAACACTGCCCACGCCAGTGAAATTCTGCGGGGAAGGAGGTCACCAGCAATCGCAGCAGTGCCTAGCCCGCCATCCACGCCAGCTCTCACGGCAAACGCCACCGCAGCGCAGCCCGCCTGGTTCCCATTCCTTCATTCCTTCTGATCAAAGGCTTTGGAATTCACTTCACAGTTCGCTTTAGACTTACTAGTTACCTCAGAGGATAGCCTCTATGCACTTCTGATTCTTTTAAACAGTTCCAGTTGTCCTGAATGACCAGACCGACGCCAGTTATTTTTAAAAATCAAACTCTGTCCAAGTACTGGTTCCAATTCAGCTGTTCCGTCTTGGGGGAGAAAAAAAAGTCACCTCTTGAGAAACCCTTGCTTTTTGGTCAATCAGTTTTCCACAGTTAGGCAAAATCTCACTTACTGCAAAACGAGTAACATGCTGACGCTAAGGATGTATTTCTGGATGCTGCTACTTCCCAGCCTGTGTGATCCATTTTTAGAACCAAAGACCGTACTGTGTTTCTACACAAGAATGAACAATTCATTCCGTTTCAGTGAGCGACACGGTAATAGTTTTGGTCCCTTTAACTACAGTACATTTCCTCCATAAAAACGAATCCAAGTGTTAATTTTCCTGTAGGAAAAAAAGATGGCAAGAGTCCAGGTGTTATAACTGGCCTACTTAAAAGCTATGCAATTATAAATCACAAAATTTAACAGCATTGCACTGTCAGACCTACCTCTCACGTAATTCTTGTCATTGAAGGGTGGCCATTTCACAGGCACGCGCAGTAAGCAAATAAAAAATTAGTAGAAAATAAAGGTCTGGACAAAAATGATTCTGGCAAAGGAAGAAAATGCTTTTCTAAACACTGACCTAAAAAAGCCACTATTGCATTGGCATAATGTCTTGAAAAAAAGAAACCCCCAAGCCACACAGTTCTTGAATGATACGCAGCGATCCATCTGTTGATACTGATGTGAGAAAAAGTGCATTACCAGGGCAGATTTTACAGTGTTAAAATACATTTGAAGCAGGGATACTAGTACTAATGGGCATCAATCAATTATTAGGCAGCTGCCACATTTAACCGGTGACAGGTGAGGAAGAACTTAACTGATCCGGTGTAATGCATTAAGGTTTAAATTGACATACAAAACTAGACATCATTGCTGAGATGTAATTATTTTAGAAGAGTGTGGATAAATTTCTCTCTCCACATAAACTTTTCTACAAATGCATCTCTAAGACTTAACCTGTACTGCTTTTCATTCCCCACCCCTAGAGAAGTTTTCCACAAAGGGCTAAATTCATCAGTGCATGCTCTTTAATGAACTCAAGAAAAAATTACAGTTCAAGGGGCACCATGCTTACTAGTTAGAAAACGTTTCTGAAACATCTATTCTTTATAATCTTAATTACAAGATATTCCAGCATTTTAGTGAAGCATCAGATATAATTACAGTGCATTATATACAGAGTACAGAAATATTTTAATAGGAAAAAATAAATAGAAAAAAATATGTAAACATCCTGAGTGAAATTCTGCTGCCACTGAAGTCAGTAACAGAACCGTCACAGATAGGAGCACAGGCAGTGTTTCACCCCTCTTTTAAAGCATACAACAGTGCACATAACTTCATTCAAAACAGTTTAAAGTGCATACAACATTGTAAAAAAAAAAATTCTTTTGAAAGTTTTATTATGCAGATTTCATTAATATCTATTACGTCTCCTCAATCCCATCTCTTCTGATTCAATGACATCTTTCTGTATCATTTCTTGGTCTTCTACCACATCTGGCTCAAATTGATGTACTTCACATTCGTCATATAATTCCTGCTCTTCTATTTTGTCATCATTATCAACATCCTCAAGCAAATCTTCATTACTGTCATCTTCTCTGTCATCTGTTTCTTTCTCTTCACAATGTTCAGCAAATGACTGAATGAGATCTTCAAGTTTCTCATTACAAATGTGGTCCATGTCTTACAATTCACCAAAAAGAAAATCAAAATTAAAGTTTAAATTACTAGAAAGGCTCCAAATTTCAGGGTCAGTTTAGAAATAGAGTATTTATTTTCTATTTGTTTTCTCTCTTTTATTAAGACTCAACTAATGCAAAAAATCCCTGTATTTGTAGTGAACCATTCTTAATATTTAAGATTTCTCTTGGAGTACTATGTACCTCTTGGAAGTCTCCAGTTGAAACTAATGCACAATTTGCTGTTTAGTGTATTATGTAAGCATTACCCATAGCCTCAGAGGTCCCTATCTGGGAACTCAGACTAAAGTTAGTCCAATACTAACAGACTGCTCAGGAACTTACATTCAAGCAGCCCATTTTAACAAAGCAGAACGTGCCTGTGTGGTCTACCCTAATTTAATGTCTTTCAGCACCTATTCGTAAAAAAAATCACGATATGCCAGAAATTTGAAATTAGATACACCTCAAACAGAAGGAATGGTACTCCTCCAGAGTAAAAATAATTCCACACATATTACTTAAGATGCAGGAGCTGAAAATTATTACAGTAAGATTTGCCTAGTCTTTTAAAATATAAACTAGTTTGTTATCTATCCTACTAGAAATCAAAGTACCTTTCATCTTGTTTTCTGATTTGTCCAATCCACTTTCTTTCATCAGTCGTCTAATTGACTGGAGCTGTGTCATTATTTCATCTTTCTGCTCACAAGCTAAAGCATTAACACTAGGTAAAAAAAAAAAAAAAAAAGAGACAGACATCAACAGCTGAAAGATTACCTTGGAACTGAGCGGTTGATAATAATGCACAAGATTGCAATATTTCCCTCAGTGGATAAATACCACAGTTAAGTTAGCAACACGTTTAGGACAAGCTTTTCTCCGAGATCTGTCCCTTGAGAAGCGGGGAGCCCATCACTTACACCTACTGAATAATCTGGTCACTGATTTCTAACACTGGAGCCCCAATGGCCAAGGTGAAGTAATGACTACTGAAAGAAACAATTATCCAAAGGAATTTTATTTTGAGGACAACAATGCCCAATACAGAACTTTACAATTTAAGAGGCTTTTCTCATTTATTTCAGATTTTGTTTACTGTCTCTCCTCCCCATCACTACTAGAAAATTTTTAGGCAAACTGGTCTGTGAATTTGCTGCTTAATAGTTTCAGCACATGTTAAGTTCAGAAGTACACTAAAGGAACAATCATGAAATTCCACATGTTTTAAACTAGGCTTCATGAAGGCTGTCAGTCTACACAAAATGGACTGTATGGATAGTTTTATTTCCAGTAGATGGGTAAGGTCCTAGCTTTTTAAAGAAAGAACATCTCTAAAACCACAAGCAGGTTATATTACTTATTCCTTTGTTTTACACTACGACAAAGAAGTTCTGTTTCCCCAAAACACACACCATCACTCAACAGGTTCGTTTCAAAACACAAAAATAAGCTGCTGTACCTTAATAACTAGTTTTGTCTTCTAATGATATCAAAAGGAAGAAGCTCATTCTGCTACCAAAAACGTAATTCCCAGAAGGGCTTTCAAATGCTACTGAGCTTAAGCATTTTTTCAGCATTACTCTCCTTGGTTCACATTAAAGTTGTTGTTGTTAAGCTATAGTAACTTCATTGTCAGCCTGAGTTTTTACATTTTATGTCTGTCAAACAAGACATGGGAGGTGTCTGTGAAAAGACTGCAAATGGCAGAAAAGGTATTACCTGCAAAAGGCTACAGAAACAGTACGCAATTAAAGAAGATTCCGAAACACTGTTCCTTACTTATACGTAGGGAACGTTTTAAAAACTCTTTGTTAACATTTTGGAGATTTTCAATTTACAGAAAACAATACTAGCTGAGCTGGTTTAGAAACACTCACCAGTTTGACAGGGGGTCCAGCTGAGTCAATAAAGAATTTAACATTTTCTCTGTCTGTGCTAGATGCTGCTCCAGTTCTAAAAGCTGATGCTCTAACAAAAACCAAAAGCAGATCATTATATCCTTTTTAAATACACTATTCATTTTAAAGATTATGCTATCCTATTTAAACATTCTATTCTACTGAAGAAAACTGAACAGGTCTTAAGTGAGAAAAACATCAGTCGTTAAAAAGCAGAGACTCATACTATATTACTATAGCTGTTTTAAAGAATATTACCATCTGGAGTCTTCAAACAAAGCTCTAAAAACTGTTTCAAATATACAAAATAATAAAGCGGGGGTTTTTAGGTTCCTAACTGCACATAACTAACTTAAAAGATTGTTCTCGTACAGATGGCATCAATGAAAATACGTAGCTTTGTTCCAGCAGCAAATATACATTTCTGGTGAACATATGCATTCTGAATGGGTATCTTACCTGTTTCCTTTGCCTTGTCTTCTGTACTTTTTTCCTTTTTGGAGAGACTTTCTTCATGTGACTTCATCTTTAATAAAGACAATTGTGTCAAAAGACTTCATCACTATTTGTATATTGAAAGTAAAACAGCATTGAAAGTAAACAGCAACCACAAAAAAAAAAGTTTCATTAACAGAGCACATTATTTGCCATGCCTTCTTCCTATCTCAAACTAACGCTTCTGATTTTAAGCAATGACAACATGACTGACAAAAAGTTGTAAAAGGAAGCAGTTGCTATTTCAACTCCATTTTTCAAAAATGAACAGAAGGAAAATTCTGTGTTACTGGATCCAGTCTCCTGCCATTAACTAGGAAGTAAACCTTGTTTCTTAAAGTAATAAAGATGCTATTATAAAAATTTTTACATTTCAATCCCACAAGCACAAGTGTAGAGTTGTAACATCCAAAATATTGGGTTTATGATGTTTAAATCTTATAACCTAATTAAATTTATTTTTAAAACCAAATAGGTCAGCCTCTATGTTCATCTTGCTAAGCTGTTGCATTCTTCTCACACAGGAGCATTCTTCTGACACAGGAGACAATATGAAACTGTCTATAGAAAAAAAAAAAAGGCAAAAAACCAAAACCCATCAACTGATCACGTTTTCTCCTTTCTTAGTTTACTAATGGTAGAAAAGGTATCACATTTCATGGATAAAAGCCTATGTTGCAGCTGCACGACCAAATGAGATGTCCAAATAAAAGGTCTAGACTACTCGCTGTTTTATCTAATTGCTAATCTAAGACTATTACTCTGCAGGAGTCAGTTGTCCATCTCCTTTCCATACTCATTCTGAAGAATGAAAAGGAAATGAAATACTGATGAGGCTTAAGTTACAGTGTCAGGTAACAACACTGTTTAGGTTTTCAAATTCTTATTTGAGGTCAGGGTTGGGGGGTAAGATTCTCACTTCTTTAGGCATCTAAAAAAAAAGATGAGTCAGAAGCCTTCAGAAGGAAAACTCAGATATGCTATAATTTTAATTTGGAGCTCACATTCAAAGTCAAACTGATCAAGAAATGGCTTTTGGACAAGCTTATACATGGACTCAGAACTGAGGGGGGGGGAGGGGGAACACCAAAACCAGTTACATTTCCTTCTAATTTAAATAATTTAATGCTTTTCTTACGGCTTACCTTAAGAAATTTGTATGCTGCAAACACTCCCACTCCGAGAGCATACAATGGCATGAGGGTGAATGCTAACTCTCTACCGTTTCCTCTTGTTCTCTCTCTCTTCATCTCTTTTTCCATTGCATTTCTCATCTGCTGAATACTCTGATAAGTACTACTGTCAGAATTTCCTGGATTCAGGTGAACTTGATGAACTGTCTGAGGACTACCTTAACAAATTAAATTGAGACAAAGAAGACAAAGTTAGAAAGGAAATTAGGAACCAAATTAGTTTCACAACTGGAATTAAATTGTTTTCTTGTGTGACCACCTTTGTTCATCACTCTTCTAAGATGGTGTGGTCAGCCCTGCATCCAAATAAAATTACAAAAGCAAAAAAATTTAAAAAAAATCATTCTTTCATTAATAGAATGCAATGTTAAATCTAGGTACCAAATACTCCCAAACTAAGTTTTTATGTTCCTCTAAGACACAAGTTTTAAGTTTCTTCCTTCACAGCAACACTGGCAAACCCACAGCATACCACTGAAAGGTGGGCATAACAAGAAACAATTTAAATTTTGAAATTAAAGCATACTCAGAGAAACTACTGATAACGTCAAGAACAGTTACAAATTAATATTTTTCCTCTGTAACAAAAAAAAGGACTTAAATAGAAACTGAATTATCTAGTCCCAGGGGAAAAATCACAGAATCACAGAATCGCAGGGGTTGGAAGGGACCTCGGGAGATCATCTAGTCCAACCCCCCTGCTAAAGCAGGCTCTCCTAGAGCATTCTACACAGGACTTCATCCAGGCGGGCTTTGAATATCTCCAGAGAAGGAGACTCCACAACCTCCCTGGGCAGCCTGTTCCAGTGCTCTGTCACCCTTAAGTGTAAAGAAGTTTTTCCTCATATTCAACTGAAACCTCTTATGTTTCAGTTTGCACCCATTGCCCCTAGTCCTGTCGCTGGACACCACTGCAAACAGACTGCTTCCATCCTCGTGACTTCCGCCCTTAAGATATTTGTATGTGTTGATAAGGTCCCCTCTCAGTCTTCTCTTCTTCAGGTTTTCTCGAAATACACCTGCTGTGTTGCTGCTTTTGTTACTTTAGCAGTAAATTCAGTGTTATGTGGATATTCCCACAGGCTTAGAAGTGCAGTACCTCTGCAAATCAAATATTTAACAGGAAACGATTACACAATAGCGAAGAGATGCAACCTTGGAAGTCTGAAGTATTTTTGCATGTAATTTGCCTGCCAGAACAGGGAGCAGATGAAAGAACAGCCAGTGTCATAGCTCAACTTAGGAATTAGGTTATTTGGTAGTTAAAACTGGGGTTCATGGGACACGCACATGAGAAACAGCTATCAGCTAAAGAATGCAGATGCTTGCAGAGACAGACAGTGGGTGATTGGGTGTGTGTGAAGTTTTACACCGATGTCTCAACTGACTGCCTAGACTTATACTTACAAATCCCTTTAAGCATTTAGTTTGTCGTAATTTAATATCAGAATTGAGTACAGGTAAAACAAGATTCACATTCTATAAAAACTCCTAAACAAAATACCGATATGTAAATGACTTCTTGCCAACTGATACTGAAACAGTGGTATTTCAAGAATTTACAGTAACATAACTCGAGCACGTAAGAGACAGTTGCAATCAGGTAGAGAAAAAAATTAATGTTACAACTCCCAGTGAAAGAGCTGTTTGACTACAGCTTCTTCCAAATACAAGAGAAAAAGGAATCTAATTCTGCCAACCTAAGTTCGTACATTGTGATAAGAGATCTCGAACAGCATTTTAGAATTGCCTAAAATGAGTTAGCCAGAAAAGTTTTTCAAACTTCCAGGTATGAGCCTGACTGTAGCAACGTTTACTATCAGCTCTGCAGTCAAGTCGTGCCAGGTATTACTGCGAGTTCTTCCACATGTCATTGATCAGCCTGCAACACGGGCGTTTGGAGTAGACCTTTTATCTGTATGTTTGCTCACTGGACCTCGAAACAGAACTGGACAGTTATACAAAAAATTAAACACCCTAGCTGATACAAGCAGAACTCAAGCTACCTTAATCATTTAATGCAAGTTCAGACAGACATTCTCCTTTCAACACAAGCAGGTTTAGACTTACTAAAACTGCACTAACTAATCTGGAAATCATGTTTTAACTTATATATAGTTTTCCTCCTTTCAGAATGTTTCCCATCAATTACTAGTTTTCACTCACTATTTTTTCCTTACTTTCTGTTCTATTTGTTTTTAATGTAAACGAGGAGATTCACTACAATACCTAATAGCACAGACGAAAAAACTTCCACAGGTTATACAAATAAGAATGTGGTCAAGGGAAACAACATCTTCCTGGCACAGAAGAGGGATGTTGAATCCTAACGGGGTCCAGTGTCCCGCGCCAAGTTTATCTCACAGAAGAAACAGCAGAGCAAGTTACTGGCCAGATAGGAGAAAAGAAGAGGTGAGAAGGGCAGATCTGCCTGACATTTGTTTTACGCAGTGCTGGGCCAATACATCAGCAGAATCAGAGGCACGTGAAGCACTGCTTTTCTTAAGGTTTGGTTTTAAAAGAATTTGATCTGTAGGAAATGACAGCTACCATACAAATTAAAAGTAATCAAGCAAAACAGGCCAGGCTAGAGCTTATGAAGCACAGTAAGTTTTTGACACCAGCTGGGAAGAACATGGTAGCGGCTCAAGCCACGTTCTCAAAAGCACAGACACGTAATTTGGATGATTACAGCAACTATCTAGCTCTTGGTTTAAAATGCCTTGGAAGGCATCCTCGATGAATCAGAGAGCTACCGCAAGAAAGCAGGCTTTTTGTTATTTTCCCAAACCAAAGTGAACCTTTGGACCTTGAGCTAAATCCTCCACTGCCGTACACTGGCACAGCTCAACACACACTTACACCACTCACGCTTTAACAAGCAGCAAGCTCGCTAGCCCGTTCAGCGATACCTTTTCTAAACAAGCACCTTGGTCTCTTTCCAACACGCTACCTGACAAATCCCACGCGATTCTGTGCTGATGTTTACTGACAGTAACGCTTGCTTTCCTCATTGCAATTCTAGCAAGCGCAGTGATTTTCCTCCTCTTTCCCAGACCTCGCAGCTCCTGTGCCGCGGGAGCAGCTGTGCCCCTGCGGGCACTACGCCTCGAACCGCCCCGGTAACCTACGCTTTCACTAACGGGGTGTTACCTGCACTTGGAAGCAATTTTCTTAAGACAACACAGACGAGAATCGAAACCGTAATGAAGTAGAAAAGCAGAATATAAAAGGGGGGAGGGCTGGGGAGGGGGTGTCTGCGTGGAAGGCTGAGGCGAGGAGGCGGGCGCCCCCACGCCAGCCCGGCGCCGCTCGCCAAGGCCGCCCCTTCGCAGGCCCTGCACAACA